AGTCGGCGTAGGGCGGGTTGTACACGAGCTCGGTGTGCTCGGTGACGAAGCGCATCATCTGCGCGGAGCCGGTGGACTGGGTGTAGTTCAGCGCGATGGAGAGGTCGTACTCGGCGTCCTTCTCCGGGTCGCGGGTGTCGTACTTGCCGACGGTGAGGACCTGGCCCGAGGAGATGGTCTCCGCCTCGGAGAAGTGCGGGGCCGTGGGGACGCGGAGGGAGAGCTCGGCGATGGGGAAGTAGGCGCTCGACGGCAGACCGCCGCCGAGGGAGATGAGGCCCGGCTTCTTGAGGTGGCGGGCCGCCTGCTTCAGGGAGCAGGGGTGCCGCGATAGAGACTCTGCGGAGAGGTGACCTGGAGAGGTTGTGAGTGAGGGGCTCACTGCGGGCAAGGGAGGTAGTGCTCACTATCCCATCTCCTTGCTTTGGGTTTGCCCACCGCCTGCGGACAAGGTCAGTATTACGCTTGAATGTGAGATTGGGACAGAAGGTTTGCAATACAGGTGCCTTGAACATGTCACTATCCGAAGCCGCGGCGACGCCTGCTATCAGCTTGCCGGCCTTGCGCCTCCGTTCCCGGACGCCATCGAAGGGCGAAGGTTCCTGACGCTTCTCAAAAGTGGCTTGCCTCTCGACCGGGACTGCATCTGCGACTGATCTATTGCCGGATTTCGAGTGAAAAGGTCGCCGAGAGGAGGAGACATGTGTCACGGGGGCAGCAACAGGGGCCATGCTCCGGAGCCGGAGGTCTGTTAGTTGAGATGACGGGGAGACTGATAAGGGACGTGAAGCCCGTGAAAGGGAGCCATTGAGGCCTCGGCGGGCGGCCCTGGAATACATGGTGGTTTTCAATTTCGAGCAATTGTGTTTATGAAAGTTTTGCAAGTTCCAAGATGTGTTGGCATGTCTCAAGAGAATCAATGCCGCGATTAGGAAGAGGGTGTGACGGTCGTGTGTTATCCGTAGCTGTCGAGATAAAGGAGCATAAGGCGTATCTGACACTCAACAATGAGCGGGTGATGACAGTTGGTGGGGCAGCCCGCAGCTACCCGCAGCTACCCATGCCCCCGCATTGTGCTACTATTCGCCGGTAATTTTTAGGTAATTAGGGGTCCCTGACCGCCGCCTGCCCGCCTGTGAGGGGGTTGCTAATTGGGGGACATTTGGGCGCGTGAGAGGTCGAGGAGACCGCTAACGCTGCGGGAAGGATTGGGCGATGCCGGAGGCGGAGGCCGGGGGACAATGGTGGTCAATGTCCGGCTGTTCGGCCCCGGGTGGGCCTTGCTTCAAGGTTTGCTTGCCGGGTTCCATCCGGACCGCTTGTGTCGGCACCCACTCACCTGAAGCTGATGGCAGGGACAGCCAGATCCGAAGACTGATGAATATACTATGTAAGCGGAGGTTGTAAACCTGGAGTAATGTCAACTAACGAGGCGCTAGCGGCTTTGACGTTTGCGCTTGAACTGGCGGCGGTCAAAGCTACAGAAGAGATTCTCAAAAACAGTCATGGCCTTATCTATTTGCGCACCTCACTTGGCTTCGTCGCAAGTCGTACCGGCTCAGGTTTACAAATCTCAAAGGGGGCCTGCGGCTGCTGTCAGCTTCACAGGACCCAACCTGCCGGCATCTTGACAAAAAACCATACCTATCATCGGCTCCCGGCACTGTCGACGAACTGTCACCAGTAGCCGCGTGTGCTCCTGTTCGAGACACATCTCCATCGACGTACGCACGCGTCATGAATCCCGGACGCTGGCACCACCCAGTCGAGACGCAAAGAGGATCTCAGAAGTCGATGGCATCCCTTCGGATCCCCGTCTATTGGAACAGGGCAGGCAGGGCAGGGTCCATCGCACCGAGTCGACGGGTCCAGTGCCAAGGATTTTGCGCGGCCCCAGCCACCCGTCTTCACCAGCCACCCGATTTATGCCACCCATCCAATCAATCACCGCCCCTCCCAACCCCCTCGTCGCAACTTTTCTCCCGCGGGGAGCCAATCCGAGTTAACCAGACAACGAACATGGGCGCAAACAATACCCATCCTCGCGCCCCAAGGGCCCCGAGGAACAAGGCCATTCAAACAGCCTACGTCCTGCCAGAGTGAATAACAAGCCAAGATCTTGATTTTTTCACCCTTCGCGTCCTTCAATCTCGGACAATCCCACCCCCACCGGCCATGGCACACATATGCTACGTCGACATGGGTTGGGCGCAAAAGCAAAGAGCCTTGCACGGCCCGATGACGCTACTGCACCTGCCAGTGGCTGGACAGATGTTGAAGACCATGTCGCCCATATAACCCATTCACCGCTGCCCGTTCCATCGCGGCATGCACACGTACATGTGCTGCTGCTGCTGCTCCTCTTGCTTTTCCGCCCGTCCATTCGTACCGTACTCTTCACCGTCGTACCAACCGAGTCCGACGTGTCACGGGCTTACACGGATCCTGGCCCGCCTTCCCTGTGACGTCGCCAATTCCTCCTAACGTCTTGGCTGGGCATCCATTCTGTCGGTGGTTCAACTCGAGAGAATCTCTTCAAGTGACAGAGTGAGGGAGCTTCTTTGTTTCCTTCTCGCCTCGAAGGAAGCTTCTCTCCTCGCTGGGAACAGACGCGGTTCTGTGACACCTCACACATTTCTACACAATGCTCTTCTCAAGAAGAGTAGCAGCAGCCGCAACGGCGCTGCTGGCGACAACATCAGCCCAGACATACTCGTCTTGCAACCCCCTCCAGTCAAGTAAGTCAAGTTGTCCCACAAGAAAACGCCTCAAAGTCACCCAATCTAACGTTTCCCTCAAGCATCATGTCCCGCTGATACGGCCCTCGGCATGGCCATCCACGTCGACTTCACACAAGGGGCCGTCAACTCTTTCGCCTCGTCCGGAAACCCGACCTACGGCTCTGACGGCGTTACCTTCACGGTCGCCGCCTCCGGACAAGCACCCCAGCTCATGTCCCTCTTCTACATCATGTTCGGCCGCGTCGAAATCACCCTCAAGGCCGCCACCGGCGCGGGAATCGTCTCCTCGCTCGTCCTGCAGTCCGACACCCTCGACGAGATCGACCTGGAGTGGCTCGGCGCGGACCCAACCGAGGTGCAGTCCAACTACTTCGGCAAGGGCGACGTGACGACCTACAACCGCGGCCAGTTTCACAAGACGGACAACAACCAGGAAAAGTTCATCAAGTACGTCATCGACTGGACCTCGGAGCGCATCGTCTTCACCGTCGACGGCACCGTCGTCCGCACCCTCACCGAGGCCGAGGCCGACACGAACCAGTACCCCCAGTCGCCCATGCAGGTCAAGTTCGGCGCCTGGTCCGGCGGCGACCCCGCCAACGCCGCCGGCACCATCGACTGGGCGCGCGGCCCGACGGACTTCACCAAGGGCCCTTTCCACATGGTCGTCAAGGACATCTCCATCACGGACTACTCCACCGGCAAGGAGTACAAGTACACCGACACCTCGGGCAACTGGGGCTCCATCCAGGCCGTCGACGGCCAGGTCAATGGGAACCTGAACGGCGCGAGCACCCTCACAATCACCGCCAGCGCCGCCGCCGAGACGGGCTCCTCCCCGACGATCCCCGTTGGCGGCATCGGCGCCGACGCGTCCGCCACGCTGACGCAGACCGGTTGGCCTTGGGTTGCGAGCGCGAGGCCTACGGGCGGTTCGGTTCCTGACGGATGGCGCATGACCTCGGAGGGCAAGATCGTACCCGATGCCGGTAACTCAGTGCGGCCGCAGCTTATGGTGTTGGCGTCGTTTGTTCTTGGTGTTGTCGCTCTCATTGGGCGGTGAAGTTCATGACACCACCCGCAGGAGGCGCATCAAACATTTGTTTTTTTTAATGAACTGTAATGGATATCTACGCACGAGGGCTTGGGAGACATAAATATTTAGAATACGGGCGCAAAAGGCCCAACCAGGGAGGTCGCATACTACGGCGTTTTTGCATTGGGTGGTCACGGACGAAACGAGATACAACAGAAGGTTGGATGTACATGTGATGATAGATGCAGTGTAATATACACAACCAATGAATCAATTGGCGACAAGACCACCACCAGTGCTTCAAAGGGGTGAAAACCATGACCTGCAATGGAAACTGTGAGCGCAGGTGGGCGTGCCAAATGTGGGGGCACGGTAGGATTTCTTAGTGCTCAATTAGAGACTGCAATTTTATAAGCGGCGTTGTGGCAGAGTGGTCTAATGCGCAAGACTAGAAATCTTGTTCCTTCGGGAGCGTCTGTTCGAATCAGGCCAACGTCGATTACCTTTTGATTTTTGCATCTCAGGCTCCCTTTTGGCATGAATAGGTTTGCCAGAACTTTTGGCCTGTTCACGAATGTGAATCCGCTCACTACTACTTGAAGCTGGGAATGTAATGCTGTTGCCATGTGCTCTCGTGTTGGCCTTGAGGGTAGCCATACTTTGCTATCGTCACTACCGTCGGTGTAGTCTTTACCCACTTCTATCGTCCTCATTTGAAGAGTAGTTGCATAACCAATTGACTGCAACAACAAAAGAAAACGAGGCGGGACCTTCTCGACGATAAAGGGCTGGATTTCTGAATACAGGCCGAGCAGACGACAACCACATAAGCGAAACTCTGCATTATTGAATTGGTAAGTTTAATTAGCTACTGGAGTAATCTAGCTCGCTGTGGGTGTATCTGGCTCTATAGCAAGAATGAGCGGACGGCGGTCTCCAAGCCACCGTGTCTTGAGCAATGGCTCCGTATAACTCTTGCGGTCGTCTCTCGCTGTATGCATGCGTTGCATCACTGTGCCATCCCTCCGGTATATGCTCTCCTGCCTCCCCGAAAGCCCAACGCCTAAAGAAATCCGTGGCGTCTGTTGCCCTGTTTCGGACTTTTGTGGACTCTGGTGCCCGATGTCGAAATGCTAAAATGAAATGCTTTTGGTACAAACAAATACAAAAGATTCTGCCTTGGGTGGTTGAAAATTTCCCACTTGAGCGTCGCGGCAGAAAGATCAGAACTCCCAGTCCTCGTCTTCGACAGACTTGATGGCCCAGCTGAACTTCTCACGAAGCGTCTTGGAGAAGAACTTCTCAATGGGCACATCGAACTTCTTGGAGAAGACCACAGTGAGACGAGGGTCGATGTAGTTCTGCGCATTATGTTAGCGATTGGACATCCCTTCCAAGTCATGCAAACAACTTACGATCTTACTGGTGCTCAGAGCAACCTCCTTGTTGCCGTCGCGGTCGGCAGCTTGGAGCTCCAAGGCTTTGATCCTCTCATCGATCTTCTTAACCTGCTCATCGAGCTTCTCGACTGTAGGACTGCGGCCCTCAGCCTCAACCTTCTTCGACTTGTTCTCCTTCTTGAACTTGGCGGCAAGCTCGTCGGCAGCCTTGAGGCGCTCCTTAAGCTCCTTCTCGGGGAAAGGCTTCTCGCCATCAGCAGCACGCTTCTCGTTGTCCTTCTGGAATTTCTTGGTGATCTTTGTGCGCTGCTCTTCCACCAGGAACTTCTGGTGCTCCAAAACCCACTCATCATCCAGCTCCTCGGGTCGAGCAAAGAAGTCAGCACCCTTCTTCTTCTTAGTCTTGGGCTCGACATCCAGCATCATCAGCTTCGTGCGCCATTGCTGGTAACGAAGACCCTTGATGCGATCACCAAGCTTCTCCATCTGAGCTTCATGAGCAGCACCAACGGTGCGCTTGTGGTTGCAAAGAATGGCGACCTCACGGTTGCAGTCGTTGTAAAGCTTGACCTTCTCGGGGATCGTCAGGTTCTCGACCTTGAGCTTCTTCAAGAGAGTTGACATGGTGAAGGAGGCGTTGTAGGTACGGAAGACCTTCGCCGTGAGACCGGGCATGTAGTTCTTCAGGTGGTTGTTGAGCTGAGTTGTCGTCAGGCGGTCGAAAATGTCGTCGCCGTCAGCCTTGGGGGCCTTCTTGAAGAGCTTGAGGTTCTTGAAGACTTGCTTCTCGACCGTGACCTCATCGTAGAATCGAATACTGTCCTTTCCGAGGAAATCGAAAATGACAGTATTGGGCTCCCGCAGGGTGATGTGCTCGTACTTGAGAGAGCAGCAACCGACGGTCTCGGCCTCATTTTCAGAGTCCTTCTCGTTACCTGCTCTGAGAGCAAACTTGTCGATCAGATAAACGGCCGTAGCCCTCTGACGGTCAGCCATTACCTCGCTCTTCAGGTCTCTGGTGTAGTCTCTGCGAATTCTGTCGATGTGCTTTTTCAGCTCACGAGCCTTCTCGAACTTCTTCATATCGCTCTGGCCCTTGATGGCGCTGGCAGCACCAAGCATGACGTACTTGTACGCGCCGTTGATGTTTTCCTGCCACATTGCCAGCCAGGTGGCCTTGTTGTCGTGAACGACGGCCTTCCACTTGTGGCCCTTGGGAGCTTCCGGGACCTTGGCATCCTTGCCAATATTGATGGTGACCTGCTCGGGATACACTCTCCTCTTGAACTTTCCGGTCTTCGGATGCTCTCCACGCCCACGGAAAAGACTGGGGGGTTCGACACGGAAGTTTCCAACCTTCTCCTTGCGTCCATCCCACTTGCAGTACATGAAAGGCTCTTCTAATTCGTCCTTCTCGGCCTTCGCAGCCTTCTTCTCCGCAGCAGTTCGGTTTTTCCGAGCCGCACTTTGTTGCTCAGAGTACTGAAACATCGCGTTGAAATCCATCTTGGAGAAATCCTTGATGTCGACCTTGTTGCCCTGCTTATCCGTTGCAGGCTTACCGGACTCCTTCAGAACCTGCTTGAAGTCTTCGAAAAAGTTCTTCTGGAAAACCGGGTTCTCAACGTTGTGCTTCGATGAGAGCATAGAGCCGAAATACCAGGCAACCTCCTCAGCTTCGATGGGCAGGTTGACTGGCTTGCCATCATAGTGCAGCTTGACGTTCTTGGGAAGTGCCTGATATTCGGGTGGGAAAAGAACGCCGTTGTGTTCAAGAGTCGTCCATTTCTGGCTGTCATCCTCTTTCTTTGGCGCATTCCACCACTCGTACTCCTCTCCCTCCTCGTCCTCGGGTGCCTCACTTTCCTGCTTGGCCTTTGCAGCCGCCTTGCCCTTCGCAGGTGCAGCAGCCTTGCCCTTAGCCGCCGGTTTAGCTGCGGCCTTCTTGCCCTTGGCCGCGATGGGCTCATCGGAATCGGACTCGGCCTTGATGCCATTGGTCTTCTTAGCAGCACCGTTTGATTGACGCTTCTTCGTGGCTGACTTTGCGAGAGGCTCATCGTCAGACTCATCCTTGATGGCCTTCTTCGGGGTTGCCTTCTTTGTCTTGGACTCGTTGGCACGAATGTTGCGAGCCTCTTTCGCGGCTGCCTTCTCGATATCGGCCTTCTTCTTCGCAAGCTTGGCACCTAGGGGCTGGTCGTCGTCGGATGAGTCTGGCAAGGCTGTCTCCTTGTAGGAAGGAGGCAGGTTCTTGCCTCTTCTTGACGTGAGAGGTTCATCGTCGGAATCCGAGTCCACTGGCTTCTGCTTTGTCTTTTGTCGCTTGGCCTGAATCTGGTGTCAGCCTCGGACTCCGCCACCTGTTGCCTGCCATGTGTAACCTACCATGGGAACATCGTCGTCGCTTTCTTCGGATTCATCCTTGTAGTTGATCTTGGGCAATGACGACCGTGACTTTCGCTTCGATCCGTTGGTGGAAGGGCCATCGACGTCCATCTCGTCGTCGACGGGACCATTTCGAATGGAGAGACCGGGCGGGGCAGCCCTAGCTTTGGATGCGGTGCGATCCATGTCTCTGTCAACGGCTTTTGAGATTTTGGCGGAGGAGACTGTGAACGATGAAGTTAGAAAAAAGGCCAAGGTTTCTCGAGTTGCCGAAGCCGAGTTGGGGGACGCGACGAGTCAGGCTGAGGCTGGCGCTGGGCAGGCGACGAGTGAAAAAAAAAAAGTGACACGTCAAAGGACGGCAAGGCGCGAAGGGTGAGGCGTCCGAAAGCGCAAAAAGACGAGTCTAAATCACTTAGCGCACTTACCTTGTCCTTTGGACCTCGCAAGAGGCATGTCGTCGTCGGAGCTGCTCATAGTTAAAGCTCTCGGTTCGCGACGTTTATGGACGGTTAAGTAAGATCTGAATCGCAAAGTCCAAAACCGGGGCCTTGTGGAGCGGGAAAAGTTGTAGAAGCCGATCCGCGCGGGAGAATCGCGTAGATGTAGAGGCAAAAGACGGATGGAATGAATGGCCGCCACGAGCTAAATAAGACGCAGGGGATGGCCCACGTCTGTCAATTGAGGAAGGCGCGGGAGGTCGAGTTTTTCACGAGGGATCGAGGGAAAGAGAGAGACTTGGAGGGTGGGAATGGTTCTACGGCACCTTCCAGCGAGAGTTTTGGAAAACCCGGTAAAAGGAAGGATCTGGTTAGTTGCTTACGACTACCTAGTTAAGTAAGGTATGGGAAAAAGGGAAAGACCGACGATGTGGCTGGGAGATGGAACCCGGCTGGGACAGGACACCTCCACTTTCAGTCAATCCAATCCAATGTGGCTGAGCGGCGCCAGAGTTTAACCGGTAACCGAACAACTGTGGAGTGGAGAGAGCCGGGTGCGAAGAATGCTCGGGACAGGAAAACTGCTCGAACTGCCAATCTCGCATCCCCGACGCACCGCCAGCAACATCAATTGGTCTCGAAAGCGGTCGTGATCAATTGATCTCCACAACGGCAGAGCCTCGATCTCCTTAATTCCCAACATTCACAATGCTTTCCCGGGCGGCGAGACCAGCTCTGCGAGCTGCGGCTGCGGCTCCCTCGCGGTAAGTCGGAATCCACACTTTGTTGAGCTCGGAAAATCGGAGGAAGGGAAACGAAGGGGTTGTGGTTTTTTCGGTTTCGACGACGACCAACCATCGATCGAGGAGGACACGCGGCATCGAAAACGAAGTTCTTGCGACCGATACCCCGATTGCGAAGGAACAAAATGGAGAGAGAAAGTTTAATTGCTGATTGCGGTTTCGCTCATCTAGAGTCACGGCCAGCGCGCCCAGCACCGCTGCCACCTTCGCGACCCTGCGTGAGATCGAAGGCCGCCTCAAGTCCATCCGCAACATCGAGAAGATCACCAAGACCATGAAGATCGTAGCCTCCACCAAGCTCAACCGCGCTCAGAGGGCCATGACCGACTCCCGTGTCTACGGATCGACCTCGAACCAGGTCTTCGACTCTGCCGAGACCAAGCCCCTCGAGGGTGATGGCAAGAAGGAGCTCATCATCGTCTGCTCCTCCGACAAGGGTCTCTGTGGTGGTATTCACTCCGGTCTGTCCCGCTACATCCGCCGCGAGTTCCTCGAGAAGGGTGCCACTGCCGACCTCGTCATCCTCGGCGAGAAGTGCAAGTCCCAGCTCCAGCGCACCAACTCCAAGGACATCCAGCTCAGCTTCGCCGGCGTCGGCAAGGACGTCCCCACCTTCGCCGATGCCCAGGCCATCGCCGACCAGGTCGTCCAGCTCGAGGGCGACTACTCCTCCATCAAGATCCTCTACAACAAGTTCCTTAACGCCACGGCGTACGAGCCCACCGTTGTTGAGGCATTTTCCGAGGAGGCCATCCTCTCTTCCCGTATGCCTCCCGACCACTTGGTACCGTGATGTAATAGCAACCTGACCGTCTCGTAGCCAACTTCTCCGCCTTTGAGGTCGACGAGGAGCTCATCCCCAACCTCCGCGAGTACGCTCTTGCCAACTCCATCTACTGGGCTCTGGCTGAGGGTCACGCCTGCGAGATCTCTGCCCGTCGCAACGCCATGGACGTACGTCATAAATCCAGTCCCTCATCGCATCCCTGCAGCTCACTGACACTACACACAGAACGCCTCCAAGAACGCCGGTGACATGATCAGCAAGTACCAGATTCTCTTCAACCGTACCCGTCAAGCCGTCATTACCGGAGAGCTGGTCGAGATTATTACTGGTGCCACTGCCTCCGCGGACATGTAAACTGTTGGAAGCGAAAAAAACATCAGATAGAGATGATTCCTACCTCTCTTCCCTTTGTATCAAGCTACCTAGGGCGGCTATTGCCCTCGTCAGTGTAACAAATCCTCGCGAATACATCCTGATCTAGAACATGGATGGGAATTCTTTCACCTGCTGTTTCAAAAACACTTCACGCCCCGTTTCACGATCGTGCTCATGATGCAGTTGATTGCTATGTACGACGGGGGAATAATTTACAAGGGCTAATTACTATTGTATGAATAACCCCGTCTCCCTCGATGCGGAGTAGGCCAAAGTGAAGAAACACTGGGTATGCATGAATTCCCTCTCAACGCCGGATAACCACGAACCCTAGGATGCATACTGCCATGCACCCGTTTCGCAAGAAAACAGAAAACAGAAGACAAAAAAGCACCGTAGCCCGCCCGAGCAGTTCGCCTCTAGCACCTGAGCCTGTCCCATGCTTTCACAGTGAAATACACAGGCCAATGCGCCAGCTCCGCAATCAGAACTCCATATCGCTGCCGTCACTTTCGGCATAGCTGACATGCTTGGTTCGGCGATACTTATTCGCGCTTCCCTCTCTGTTGGACTCATCTCCATGGGCCTGGTGCAAGGGTAGGAAAGGGTGCTCCGCGTGATATGTCTTCTCGTGCTCGACGTAATCCTTTTCCCACTGCGCCGACTTCTCCTCGTATACTTTGACAGCGTCTGCATACTCCGCCTTCATTTCAGTGGCTTTATCCTCAAATGGCTTTCTCTCCTCAAGGGGAGTAGCCTTCCACATCTTGGAAGTCATGGTCCGCACTTCATTCGGAGCAGCCTTCTTCTTGTGGGATCGCTCGGCATCGCACTTTTGCCGCGCAATTTCGAATATGGCCTTGCTAAAGAGCACATAAGCGTTCGCCGCTGCTTTGCGGGGTTGCTCGGGCCGTTCGCCAATCTGAGACCTGATGTACTCCCAGGTGGCGAGCTCGTAGGCTTCTCTGTGGGCTTCTTCGGGGTCCTTGGGCCTCTCTGTCTCCTTTCGTTTATTTGAGATGCTTTCCTTGGAAAGAACTAAGGGCGTTGGCACGTCAATTGGCCCAAGCATCGACTCCAGGGCCTCGGAAGCGGCTCGCAGACCGGATAGGTAGGCTCCATGAACGGTGGCTGGATGTGTTCCTATCGTGTGCTCTCCAGCGAAGAACAAATTGCCTATGGGACGAGCCATGGCGTCGTAATCTCCCGGTTGCATATCCGGACCTGCTGAGGAGTAGCTTCCTCTGGCAAACCTATCCGCTGACCACCTTGTGACAATGGCTTCGACGGGGTGAGGCACCTTGGCACCAAAGATGCTCCGCAGAACTCTTGTCGCCTCAGCAATGAGGTTGTCATTGCTATTGTATTGGGTGTCAAAGCCAGCCTCGCCCGCCATCAACGCCACAAGACAGGGGAGGCCCGTTGTCTGGGTTACATTGAACCACTGGAACATGCGTCCACGCTGTGAGTTGTAGTCGCGCTGATTGACACTGTGACGGTTCGTTGCATCTCGCAAAACGCCAAAGATGTGTCTCTGGGTATCCCAGAATGGTTCTTCGTAAACCAGGACCACTTTGTTTAACACGCCGTACCCAATGCGATTGATGGCTTCGCTCTTCCATTCTGGCAAAGGCGGTTCAAAGGTGACGTTGCCCTGCTTTAGGACGCCCAAAGGTATGGTCGAGATAACGTAGTCAGCCTCCACGGTTTCTCCATCTTCGCAGTGAACAGTCGCACGACCATTCACCTCAAGGCTGTAGACAATCTTGTCAACGGGCGACTTAGTACGAACGTCCAGAGGCGTAGGACAATGCAGGAGGCCCCGGGGAACGCTCTGATATCCACCCACGATCATCGTATGATCGCCTTCAAACTCATTACCAGCATCAATGTCCCAGCCACCCAGACTGAGATGGTACATGTCCGTAGCATTGCTGTATTCGAGGTTGGCGACATGCCAATTAAGCAAGCGGTGGTCCTGTGATGTCAAATCAATGATGTTGCGATACTGAACAACAGCTTCGTCAAATATTGTGCCAAGCGTCGCGTCGGGCATGCGAGTAGCATTGCCGAGGTCGATGTTTGCCTCATTTGACAACCCGTTCTTGAGAGTCCACCCCATGGCCTTTGCCTTCTCGCCTGCTTTGAGGATTCCCGGTGTTCCAGGCTGGGTATGGACGCGCCCAGTCAGCTTGTCAGAGGATACGGGCACCATGTTGACTCTCTCAGGCACATTCTGCTGAGACACGGGAGGGGCGTGTGGGAGAGCCGCAGCTTCTTCCTCAGCTTGAGCGATTGTCCTGTGTCCATCACTGTTGGCATCCCGCCCCTCATTGACCGCGTCCCGATTGCCCTCGATGCGTTTCGAGGGTTGCGTTTTCCATTTGAACTCGCTCACGCGGTCTAGACAGTCATTGTACAGCTCCTCAACTAGAGTATCCCTCGTATGGTCTACGGGCTTGCCGTTCGAGTCGTAAATGGTTGTCGCTGATCGCAAGGCACGGTAAGGCAGGCTCAGTTGTCCGCGTACAAGAATGTTCATTGGATTGCCACGATGGAATCCTGTGATGATCATACCGCCCATCTCAGCAGTATGTCTCTTGTCAACGAAATCAGGAAGCGGAGTCTTCGGCTTCGACTTGAATTCCCTCGAATAGACTCTCCCACCAATACGGCCGCGACCTTCGAGGACGATGATTTCTGGAGGTGCTTCTCCCAGGGCACCAAACTGTTCCGAATACTGTTGGACGAGGCCATCCAGATGCCTTGCGCACCCTAAGCCTGACATGCCAGCCCCAATTACGACTATTCTCCTTCTCTTCGGGCGATATTCTGCGTCAGTCATTTGCTCATCGTCTTTTTTCGTCTCCGGGAACTCTACGCATCCGAAGTTGATGTAGCCTCGTCGCAAAAGCCAGTCGTAACAGACGCTTGCCGCGTTAAACCATCGGGCGCTAGCGCATCCAACTGCCTCATTCCTCGCTACTGCAACCCGTGGGTTACTGTACCATAGTCGAAGAATGCCGTTTCTGATGTTGAGGTACGTTGTCACTTGAACGTGACTAATATGTT